CCCCCCTAACCCCCCCTGGGGAGCGAGAAGATGTGTGGCTTTCAATCCCAAAAATCCCCCAGCCGGCGTGCCTGACTGGAGAATTCTGGGAGTTGAAGTCCACCCATCTTCAAGTTCCCAAGGTTGGATTAAGGAAATTTCCCGGTACATATGGATCATAGTTAACTAACCCCATCCTAACTGGCTTTACTAAAACCACTAAGTTATTGTGGGGCCTATTTGGATGGGGTAGCCAGGATTTAGGGCTTAGCAAAACAGGCAAAATTCAGCGAGGGCCAACGCTGTCAGGAAGGAAGCTTTGAATCTGCAGAACCTAGTTTCCTGTTTAGGACGTGGTGGCTAATTAATGGAAGAAACATGACACGTGCAGAATTGCATTTGAGGTCTTTGTAGCTGTTCACCAGAAGACCCCAGAAGGTCCAAAATGTGGCATATGAAAAAAAAGAAAAAGAGCTGATCGTGGTTAACACCACCAAGATCACACCGCGGGCATGTTCTTATTTTCAGGGACAGGAAGGCATTGGAGAGAGAGATGTGGAAGCCACAGCGGTTGGGGAGAAACTTCCTGAGTTTTTATACAAAGCATTGTTGTAGCAACAAGGTTTATTTTATTCTTTTGCACGCCTTTCGGAAGGCAGAATTATCCAGCCCAGCCACCCATTTCCGTTTCGTTAGCCGGAGAGATGCTTTGGGGGAAGTTCACAGGCAGGGCATGGATGCAATAGCCCTTTCCTCAGCTTACCCCTGGCATCGGGTATTCAGAGGTAGACTGTGCCTAAGCCAGGAGGTTCCACCGCAAAAGAGGCTTGCCAAAGCCTAACTTCGAAGGCGGCTTCGTTTAATCCAACAACAGTCTTTACCTAACTAGGATTTTCTCTTCTGGCTTGTTGACATAGATGCAACTACACTCCAGGCCCGGAAAAAGATTCCGACCGTCGCTGTGTGGAAATCCGTTCAATGCGGGACGCAGAAACCGTTCCTTGCGTGTGGTTCCTCAGGAACACTATTCTGTTTTTTAGAACACGTGTTCTTTTTGGAGCACCTGCCCGCATTCAAGGCGCCTGGTTTTAAGAGCGGCGCCGTGATGTCAGACTATTTTATTTTATTCTATTCCACGTAACGTCCTAACTTGAGGACTACGCCTTCCGTCCATAGTTTGGTTTTACTGGGTCACAGGAAAGCAACCCGTTGTGGATTTTAACTGTGCTTGAAGGCACGCTGTGCTGTGCGAATGCAACCTACGTGGGCACCTTGGGAAAAAAAACCCAGTCCAGCAAACTGGGGTTTGATGCAGAGGGAAACCCGGTCCGCCCCACCGTCCCCTCCCCTGCCAGCGGCGCTGAGTTGCCCTTGGCACACACTCAGACTCACAATTTAAAGTCCCACCTTGGCGCAGATAAGGAAGCAGGAAGGATTAAATACACACCCTGGTTTCCCAGACTAGCAGCTTAGAGCCAGGATTTGCAGATTAGCTGCACCTTGAGATTTGGAGTGGGGGGAAAAAAACCTTCCCGTGCCTGGCAGGAGAGAGAGAACGCCAGCAAACCTCCTCCCCCCAAAAAAACAACCAATTCTCCTCTATTATTCTGGTTGGTGGATCACGCTAGGCAAAGATGTGGCTGGTCTGGGCCCACCGCTGCAGACTGGAAACCAGGGTTTGTGGGAAGCAACCGACTGTGCCTTATTGGGGCGACGTCTGAACTTTAGGAGTTGTGCAAAGAGGATCTATGGAGCTCTTGACAGCGTCAGCTTCTGCAAATAGGCCTTGTCCTTGTTCAAACCATACACCGTGGCAAGGGTCCGTCTTCCCTTCTAATTTTTTTAGATGTTTTTATCCTGCCTTATTTTTATAAATAAGTCAAGGTGGCGAACATACCTCATCCCCCTTCCTCCTCCTATTTTCCCCACAACAACCCTGCGAGGTGGGTCAGGCTGAGAGGGAGGGACAGGCCCAAAGTCACCCAGCTGGTTTTCCTGCCTCGGGCGGAACTAAAACTCACCATCTCCGGCTTTCTAGCCTGGAGCCTTCACCGCTTGACCAAACTGGCTTTCTGCTTAAAAGGAAATACTTTTAAGTTTGCAAAGACCTGTTATGCCGTTCCTTCCTTAGGACGGCGGCTTGGTGCGCTGATAATGCCGCAGGAGCTTCCATTAAAAGTGTGAACATTTGTTTAGCCAATCAAAAGCATGGCAGATCCCACAGGAGATGATCTAATTCAGTGTTTCTCAACCCTAGCAACTTTAAGATGTGTGGACTTCAACTCCCAGAATTCCCCAGC